TTGTAGATATGTAGAAAACGCGGTGGTTTATGTGAAATGCTTAATGAATTTTGGCATTATAAAAATGAAATATAAAAGCCCAAATGAGTTATTTTGACTTTTTTATTGAAAACAATGGTGAGACGAACACACTTTCACTTTAATGAACCTGTGTGTTCTAAAACAAAGGGGCGTTCACTACTTATCTTTTTCAGTTCTATTGTAGACTTACTAGAAATCCTGTTATTCATCAGGAGCTTTTTGCTTCCTCCTGACTCAAAGCGGTTTGACTCAACTGTGTGTTAGGTATATGTAGGAGAAGCGCGCCTCTATTTTCCTCACTCGGTGCATCCGGATAGCTCACTGGCTTTCATCTTGCAGCTCAGACCATCTGACCGCAGAATACTTGCGTAATTACCTGATACCGTCAGCTTTGCCGTCTCGACTGGATGATACAGATACCTTAACCAAAAGGTCTTCAGCCCCCTACAGTCTGGACCGCGGAAAGAAAGATTAAAGGCATTTCTGAGTTCTTCTCAGAGAGGGTAAGATAAATATATTTTATTGGGGTTTTTTTGCATCGAGGTTTTTTTGTTGTCAGGTCTACCCATCAGCTTGGCAAGGTTAAGAGCAAAGGCTCTCCCTTAAAAAGTGGGCAGCAAGGAAAAACTTTCTTTCAGCTAGGTGAAAATTTGACTGAAACAAGTAAGAATGTATGGAATTTGCCTGACTGCATGGGATATGTAAGCAGTTTGTCAGAAATGGAAGAAATGAGCAAAGAAGGGAACTACTGTTCCTTTCTGGTACTTGTTATTATGTCACTAGGTAAACAACACGTGCATCTGGTCGTGTCAACAGAAACTTGTAGGTGAGACACTTTCTAAGCAAATAGCAACTCGTAATTTTTTATTTTTATTTTTTTCATTCGAGATGAGATAACTTTAAACTGATGAAAACAGCCATGCAAAGATGAAAAACAATCTTTGGGAAAGAGAGCACTTTGCCTGTTCTATAACACACTGTCAGCTCTTTCTCCCAGAACAGCTCTTACCTAGCGAACAGCAGCCTCCCAGAAGATCATGTTCCTTATACAAGTAATATAGTTTTAACATTTTTCATGGCTGTGGTGTCATGATTAGCATTGGAAATAACAGAGCAGAAGTGAGAAGGAGCTCTAACAACGCACAGAGAAGTGTATGTGTGTAGCGGTGTCTGTTTGGGCAAGAGGAAGCAGGTTATCTAGGCCAGAATAAAACAACCTCGAAAAAAATTACCTAAACCCGTTTAATTCACCAAGCAGAAACAAGGAAATATCAGAACACAGTCCTTCTGCATCTAACAGACCTGACAATTATGAGAAAGGACAGCATGCAAAAACTCCCCTTAGTAAAAATTCACTGCACCCATTACTAGCATAACAGAAATAGGAAGTGGCTTTCTGCATCTTTCCCTTAACTCATACTACTCTTGGGCTGGCCTTTCTGATTTGGTTCAGCATACCACAGACTGACCTACTTCAGAACAAGTGGGTCATGATACAACTTTAAATCAGGAAGCCTAAAACCCACTCTTCTCTGCAAGCGAGAGTGTGTTTGAGTCAGAAACACTTTCTTCTTGTCATCCTTCTTAGGATGGCACTTTGGTTCAAGAAAAGAGAGATTTTCAGAACCTGTGTTGGCAGGAAGAACCCAGGGTTCTCAAAAGGAAGCTCTTCATTGTAACGGTATTCATTTTGCTTCATACTGTCCAACACAGTTGTCTCCAGCACTCTAGAGAAGTGTACATCGCAGCCTTTCAAAGGCTTTTGAATATTGACTGGTAGTGAGGCTTAGAGTAGCTTAACTTTCTGCCACTCCTGCAAACCGCTGACATAAGCGAAAATGCACAGGGAGCAACTGATGTACCAGTTATCTTTCCAGGCTGATAACACCAATACTTTTGATCTCTGTACGTAAAAGCTGATTATCTCATCCAGAGATAAAAATTGCTGCAGATCCTGGATGAACGCCTCACATTTAATTTTTCTTCCCAGTGTAGATATTTTTGAACTCTCTGTGGTGCGTATGCAGATTCTTTGAAGTTGGCCTTTCATGGCTTAGAGGCTGTGTGCACTCTTTGGATGCTAAAAAATATCAGGGCAAGAATTTTGCCCCAGCAGTCTAAAAATTTTCCTTCTAAAAGTATACACTAGTTGCCCATTTCCCTCAACTTGAAAACGAGTTGCATTTCTGCTTAACCGTCAAGATTTAGTGGCATGGACTTCAGCTCAGTCTGCTGTATCATCAGAGTCCCTGCTTGTCTAGTCCTCAAGTAATCATCTGTGTTTAAGTCCCTCCCTTCGCTCCCTCGCTACAGTTTTTACCTTCGCTGCCTAAAGTCTCCTTAGGTAATCCTACCTGTGCTACGACTCTGGTTCTGTTTTGTCAGAAAGACATACCGTTAGTTACTATATATTTATTTTGCAAAGAGGCCTGCCCTGGGCGGCACGCTGGGAAAAAACTTCATCTCAGCATAGTGTTAGCTCTTTGTCCCCTGCTCAGGTGGTCAGCAAATTTTTCTAGTTACTATATAGGAACAGAGCAAACAAGGCCATTATGCCAGTGCTGCGTTGGGACAGTCCGGGTAGCAGGCACAGAGAGCTAAGAGGGATTGACTTCTGTCGTGACTCCACTGCTCCTGAATCTTCTGCTTACAGAAGCAAGGAAAGGAAGCGAGAGCTGAGGCCTGATTTGACTTACCGTCTTTCAGTGCCATTATTGCCTCTTAATACCAGGTGATGACAAGCTGTGAGGTGTGCATGTTCAGATGGAGATTTACAGCAAGAAAGCAAGGAGGGAACATGCTGAACCGCCGGGTACTGACATCATGGAGCTCCGCAGCCTTTCTACTTCCCTCTCCCCTGTTTAGACTGGGGCTGCATTTTCCCTTTCCGTGCCTCATGAAAAGCGAACAAGAAAAAGCTTGTTGGCATATGATATGCAAAACCTTGAAAAAATGATTGCTCAGGAGTATCGCAATGATCGATTCAATGATGCAAAAATAACCCTGAAGTACAGAATTGAAGAGATGCTTACTACGTAAGTTATAGCTGAACTGCAGATACTCCTCACTGATGCTGTAGAGAAGTATCAAGCCTTTAAATCTGACTAAAAAAATTAAATGTAGCACTTCTATTTGGTGTTAAGTAATACTGAAGGCACCAGAAAGGCTGCATGAATGTGTGTTTACGAAGAACAAAGAAGGTGTTAACGTAGAAAGCAGTGTCTACGCCATGTTCGTTGTTCACTTAAGTTAAAAGAACAGAAAAATATTTATATTCTGAAATTATAATCTGGGTGGATACATATTATGCTAAACAAATACAAAAAGCTGTTAAGAAACTGGAGGCCACCAAGACTAGCGGTTGTTCAAAAAGTTATTTTTGAATAGGACCAGTCCAAGTAAGTCAATTCAGTTGAAAAGCTGTTCGGATTATTTGTTTTCAATAAAAATATTTCTTATCTGCCTCAGGACTTTCCACATACAAATAAGACAAAAGATTTAAACAAACAAATGGGAATGAAAAGCCCAGAGACCACTTTGTCTCCCAGTCATGTCCCAAAGTAAATCTGGAATTGGCCATTGTATTTTACTTCCTGGCTTTCAAAAACCAAAGCACTGTCTTCAAAGTGAAGCCGTAGGGAGCCATATGGGTGGTTTTGGAGAAGTCACGTATTGTTAAACACTGAGCGGGACTGTCTTCTCTTCACCCGTTGTCAACAATGTGGGCTGAGGAGATTTGCTAAATGAAAATGGGCTCACTGCTTCCCCCTATTGATGCTCTACATTTCTGCATACAGCTTGACTCAGATTTTTAGTTCTGTTAATACATTATCTTTTAACGATTCCATGTCGGTTATCTCTTTTCAAATACATTTTTTCTTCTGTCTTTGATGAAAACAGTATTTTCATACTCATGTATCTGTCCTGAGTTTCTCTTTAAAAAAGTTAAGCTGATTAGGTTTTTTCATTTTTCGGTTAATCTTTGCCTGCTTTCCCTAATAATTGACTATCTGCTTTCCAAATAGCTTTCATATATTTGTTATGCCGTTACTTGTGGCTCTTTAGCACTCGGAATTTTATCATTTTTTAGTGCACTCTAGCCTTTGAAGATCTGATACTTTCCTTTCTATGGCATAAATTAGAAGCCCTTGCAGCTCTGTATGAATTATATAGTGCGAGCAGTTCTAGCAGATGGCATTCGGGGTAGTCAAGATGAGCTGACTGTGGAAACTGCAGAAAAGCCTTGCACTACTAAGTGAAAGGACAATAAAAGGTAGACAAAATTCAGCAGGGATAATTATAAACCTATGCATCCAGGAGAAAGCAAACCTAAGTTTGTATAAATAGTGATGGGCTTCTAGCTGGCTACTACTACTCTGGTAACACCTTGCAGTTATAATGGATGATTCTGCTGAAATAAAATAACAGCAAAAAGCCCTGAACACTGTGAATTCATAGGAAAGAATTGAGAGAAGGAAATAAAATAGTGCCATGATGCCATCTAAGCTCACGGCGACCTGCTCCCTCAAGGGAGGCCTCGGTTGCACCGCCGGGGCCTCGTCCTGCCCCAGCTGCGCAGCCACCTGGTCCAGCAATCAGCTCCCCACGCCGGGCCTCCCTGCCGCTCCCGCCGCCTGGATGA